GGATTTTTCCGTCTGAAACCCGGACACCCATAATTTATAATATTAAATTACTGCAACATAATATTAAAACGATAAAACTGAATCTTTTATTAATTATTTATTATTAATTATCATTAATAATATCAATATAATGACTACTACAATATTATTATTGTATCATTGATCCCGACCGACGCCCTGGACGCTCTGACAATACCCTGTACGCGGATATATTTGGCAGATTAAATAATGTTAGTTCTACGCGCTTAAAAACCGGATTACTTTAAAAAATCCCCCCGGACGTCCCCGGATGCTAACGAAATTAGGACAAATCCGGGGAAAACCGGACGGATGGCAGCCCTAGGGAGGGTCAATTCTGTATCTTACAATACAGCGGAAATGCTAAAAGTGAGCGGCTTTGTGTCGCCTTTTAAGGGGACGGATGGAAAGAGATCCAGCTAAGCTATTCACTTTCAACATTTTTACAATAGTGTAAGATACAGAATTGATCCCCGGGAGACCGATTTGATCGCGCCCCAGGGGTTCAATTCTGTATCCTACAATATGTTGGAAATGTTAAAAGTGAGCGGCTTCGTCTACGTAGTGTAAGATACAGAATTGACCTCCAGGGGCCCAATCGTGAATCTTTTTCTCTAGCGTCAACTCGTGAAAAGTGAAGAATTTGATTGAAAAATGTTAAACTCGCCAATGAAATTTTCTCACTTTTCACTGGTTCACGCTAGAGAAAAGGATTCATGATCGAGCCTCGGAACTGTTCATGGCACACATTGGTCCTCGTATACTTTCGCCAGATTACACGTTTTACAACTAAAATGAGGTAATACGTAAAGGTTCGGACACACGACAAAACTTAAGCGGTAAGATTCACGAGAATGGCAGTCGTCAGCAAAATCGTCAGCAGCAAAACCTAAGCAATGCTGAAAATTCCGACTGGCTGACGTTCTCAGATCTTGAGGTTTACTGCTCAGGTTTTTTCGTGTATTTCCAGCTTGACTGGAAACGTCGAGAGGCGAGGGAGAAACGCTCCACGCACGGCCCTGGGGACTCGGCGCGGCGCGCATGCGCGAGGAACGCTGCCTGTTTGGCAACAACGCGGCTCTCTCTCTCCACGGCGCTCAGTTCTGAGATCACGAGACGGTAGGGACCACGTTCGTGTCGCGTGGCCACGAGACGCGTCCGTCGTACGATCGAACGAGGTGGCGAGGCGCTTTCCACTCGGGTTTCCCCAGCGACGACGGCAGGAAGGAAGATCGGCCCGAGGTTTCGCGGGTGTTTTTTCTGACGCGGTGAAAGGCGCGGGACAAAGTAGAACGCGGGTTAGAAAGTCGGACGAGTCGCGGGAGCGAGCGCCACCCGAGACAGCGAGAGCGAGAGAGAGACGGACGAGGTGGGTGGGGGAAGCAGCGACCAAAGTGCGGGGGCCCAGCTGTTCTCCGTGGTAGGAAAGGAGGAGTGGGGGGAGGCTCACGCCGAATATACGCGTCGACGGTAGCGAGCGAGCGAGAGAGAACGTCGGCGACTCGAGTGGTGTGTGCGGAAGCCGCGGCAACGTGCGCGCCGAGAATCGAGGATACGGCGAAGGTCACGCGAGAAAGTTGGAGGTCGCGCGCGCTTTTGGCGATCGAGAGGGCCCGGGCGCGGAGAGCAGCGCGAGCGAATCGTCGCGCGTCGACTCGAGGATATAGCGGCGTTTCTCCAGTCGCCACCCGTTAGAATCCCGCGGCGCTCGCGGTACCGTCGTCGCCGCGATTCGGGGCAACCGAGAGAGCGGTACTGTTTTCTTCGCGAGAGAACGGAGCGACGCGAGAGGAAAGACCCGGCTCGGAGAGAGAGAGAGAGAGAGATAGAGAAAGGGAGAGAAATGTGGCGTCCCACGAGCAGAAGCACCCAGATGGAGGAACGTGTTACAGAGGTCGACAAGAAGCAGCGGCGGTGGAAGTGCGACAACGACAACAACGACGGCGGCGGCGGCAAGTACGACGAGGACGAGACGGGCAACGTCGACTCCGGATTCCTGTCGGGCGGCAATCTGCAGTTCAGCGGCGAGATCAGCGGCGACTCGGGACTGCTGCATTCGTCCGGGGTGGAACGGTGGGGGGCGGGGAAGGGGGAGCGGGAGAAGCGGGCCAGCGGGCTGGCGCCCGAGGCGACGGCGACATCGACATCGTCATCGGCGGCCTCGACGGTGGTGGCGGAGGAGTTCGCCGATGAGGAGCCAATGAGGGCGATCGACAGCGGCGTGGACCTCGACCTCACCGAGACCCTGAGCCAGCTCAGTCTCAAGCAGGTCAGCCTGAACCGGCTCGCCGCCAAGGGCGGCAAACTCATCTGCGCGGAGCCGACGACCCCGTCCCCCGAGCTGCTGCTGCCCGTCAGTCTCGCGCGGACCGACGAGGACGATGCGACGTTCGAGCAGCGGGCGAGCGACGAGGAGCCGTGGCAGCTGTACTACGCGCAGGACGACGACGGTGACACGTGAGTGTGACGATCGATCGCCCTGCTTTCCCCCGTTTCGAGTAGCGACACGTCCCGCGCGTCCACGTGGGCCGCGAAGCGACTTCATCGCTGAAGGTTGTCCCGTCAGGTGTTTCGCATCATCAATTTATTTATCGGCTGCGCTCCGCGGAAAAAGAGCTGCTTCGCGACACTTGTAAAATTCGCAAATTTGATTCGAGTACGCTCTTGGACTCTGCCACGTTTGAAAGCACGCGCCGATCTATTTATCTCACCTCAGCTTTTAGCCGGGAAGTGGACGACTTGGTTTACAAAAGGTTCTTGTCTTTCTTCGCTTGCTGAGGCTAGTGATTTTTCCTACTGGAGTTGCTTACGAGAGCCAATCAGGATGCAAAGTTTTCGATTAGGTGACTTAAGGCTAAATCATGATTGGCTCACGCAAGTAATCCAGTAGGAAAAATAATGTCGCGTGCCGTTGGCTTTAGTTTGCGCTTACTTGCACCTACGTTTGTACATTTTTAATCCTGTTCTAAATAAATTCCTCTTCGACATCACAAGCGTACGCCAGTCGGGCTCAAGATTTTTACAGCAGTTGGAGAGCAACTTTTTCCGCTGAACGCGGCCATTGTGGCATTTATAGCGGCGTTCGCGAGTTGCGCGCTAAAAACTGTCAATAGCGTGCCGTTCTGTCGCCGTCGACGGCGCACGTGGCAGCCCGAGCGGAAAGTCACGCGAATACTCCTACGCGCGGCGAACGCGTCAATCCTTTGGGCCTCGGGCGGATGCGTGGGTGACGTTGTTTTCCTTCAGCCGAGCGACATCCTCAGCTGCTCGATCGTGAATTTTTTCCTCTAGCGTGAACTCGTGAGAAGTAAAAAATTTTATTGACCATAATGTTGAATTTGTCAATGAAATTTCTTACGAGTTGACGCTGTGGGAAAAGATTCGTGTTCGAGGCCCGGAGCCGAATGGGTCGTCGAATGTCTCGCGCGTCAAAATTAAATTGGAGAAACTACACGGCGATGCCGTTTGGATAATCGAGACAAGCTGATCACTTCTCGGCGCTCCAACGTTCTCGATGATCGCGACTTTATTAACCCTTTGCACTCCTATGTCGAGTGTGACTCGACATCAGTTTTTATCTCAGGGGCTTCTTTGTCGAGTCTCGCTCGACATTTTTTTAAGTCCAAACCAATAGATGAAAATAGCTGAATAATTCATAATTCGGACTGCAAAGGGTTAACCCGAGTAGAAATAAAATCGTGCATGCCTTATGTATGGTCAGGACCCGATAGGGAGGAAGTAAGGAATGCCCTAATAAGGAATCCCTGACATGTGCCTGATCCGGTACGCCTGATTCCCTCATAGAATTTGATAAACGTTAACCTGAATATATAGCATTAGTACCACTCACTGCTGCGACGTGGCGACCGCGCGTTAGTCTTTCTCGTAAGTAAAAATCATCCCGTATTAGTATGAGAGGCGAGTCGATATGATGCAACAGCGAGTTGTCTGGATCATGGATAAACTTCAATAATCTGAATATACTTTTGATGACTATGCAATTTAACACAATTTAAAAATTAGTTTACAAAATTGAATTTTTTAATAGGAAGCCTACTGATGCCCCCCCCCCCTATTAGAAATTGCAAGGTGCAACGAAGTCATGAGGTCTTGATAATTATTAAAATTATTAGGGCTCTCAGGGCTGCCTGATGAGTGCCTGACCAGGCATCCCTATTAGGTCCCTACCAGGACCCTACTAAAATTTCTGCTCGGTTCTCTTCTCGCCTCGCGTCTATCGTCTTCGCAAGTCGAGGATCCGTTATCCCGCGATCCTGTTAACAGCTGCGGGGCCGGAGCGAGTCCGCGATCAACGAGTCCAGGGTCGAACGCTGTGCCGTTTGCTATGCTAATGCGCGCTCGGATACTATAGACTTATATACTAGACTGCGTCATCCCTATGGACGCGCTGTCCTAAACATTAGAGTGCAGACATATCAAGACCAATGTTGGAGACAAGATATGTTGCCGAATAATGGCCGAACTTAGGCGTCTAAACTTTGGCTATGCGATAATGGATCAAACAATGGCCACGTTGCCTACCTCAGCAAACCCTACATGGGGAGAAAACAAACAACTTAGACAGAGACACGTTGACTCACAATCAGTTCAGCTCTTCCTCTCTTTCTAAGTTTTACGACCGACGCCTCTTACGGATGGTCTAGTATTTAAGTCTATGACCGATACGCGACTGGAGATAATCGAGAGCAGATCTCGGCGTGCGAGTCCAAGTTTGAGATGCATTCACTGAGGAAAATGTCCGTGTTTCCGATGGGATATTAACCACCATTTTTCTGATTAAGTTTTCCGATTAAATTATAGACACGTTCGATGAGATTTAGTCGAAAAACTGATTCTTCATCGGATCTACAATTTAATTTAGTAAATCCGTTTGCTAATATGTAATTGGTTATCCGATTAAATAGGCTAGGATATTTTTCTCGGTGCTCCAATTCCTCATTAGTGAGTCATTGTCGCGACCTGTTCTCTTTTCCTTGCCGTTTGCCTTTTTACCGGCACGGCACATGGCAATTTGAGCGCATATCATTATAACGTAACATCGACGTCTATGCAGATGGAAGTGACCTATACGTACGTTTGACGTGCGCTTAGGTGACTCGCTCGGGCTCGTTGACCGTTTCAATGAAACGAGTTTCATTCTTCGATAAGGATCGCCTTTCGGGAATTTAGATGAGCCGCGGCAACGACGATAAATCGCGCGCTGACGCACGTTTCGGAAAAAAAGAGAGCTGCAACACTTGTGACGGAGGAGACGAGCCGAGAAAACATTTTGCGTCGAAGATGCTAACGAATGCGTCCGCGAATTAAATATTAACGGATAGGCACACTCCGACGTTAAGAATTAATAATTAATAATGCCACGAGCGCGGCCGCGACGCTCCCCACTGTCCTCTCTTCTTACGTAACGTTGCTTTTTGTTTCATCAGGCAACTGCACCTGGCGATCGTGCAGGGCTTCACGGAGGCCGCGCTCTCTTTGATAAGGATGGCCCCTGACCCGTGCCTCCTGAACACCATGAACGACGACTGGCAATCGCCCCTGCACCTGGCAGTGTTGACTCACCAGCCCCTCATCGTCAGGCAACTGATCCTGGCCGGCGCGGATCCAGCCCTGAGGAACTTCCGCGGGAACACGGCCCTCCACCTGGCCTGCATGAACGGAGATCTCGCTTGCGCGAAGGCCCTCGCCGACCCGTTATCCACGGCGGAGAGGAACCAGCTGATGCCGGGACGGACGGTGCCAGCCTTACCTCAGAATCTGGAGCAACGTAATTACAGCGGTGAGCACGCAATAAACTTTGATCTTTTCCTTGTTTTGGAGAGGGACGTCAGTTTGACGAGAGGCGGATAAAGTGCGACCAGAAACGAGAGTAGCGTTATTTCGGCAAAATTGGAAAGGAACCATCGGGGCGAAGCGACGTTCGCAGGCACCGAATGTTAGCCAAACGCAATTACTATGAGACTGTATTTTACCAGCCGAGATTGATTTTTCCTGCGCGGTCGCGGCAGCTATTTGGAAGCTCGCAGCATAATTGCCGCTAATGACCGTAACGTTAATGCGAGAAAAGACGATCCACGTCCGTGACACAAAGGACGCCGAGGTGGCAGCGGAAAATCCCTCCTTTTACCGCGCAGAATAAGTCATATTGTAAGACTCGCGTAGCGATGATGTTACGATCCACGGACACGTGGAACTGCGCGGGTTTCCTATGATTTCATCGAGACAGTCATATGTTCTCGACGCTCACGTTTGGAAGTTCCATCGTCTCGGAACATTCCTTTCGAGAGAAAGAAAAAAAAAGAATATGCGAAACCTATCGAGGTAATTTGAATTTGAAAAATTTCATGGTATACCGGGTGTCCCGCAATCATTTATTACGTTTTAGAGCCTCCTCTCGCAATATTGGTACGCAAATAAACTGTTCAAACTATAAACGGAGAAAAGTAAACGCGAACCTCTGGCGTAATAAAAAAATCGAGAGATGATAAAACATATCTTAGCGAGAGCTCGTGAATTACAGAAGCTTTTCTAATTAATATTATAGCCAGTTGTATCGAATAATGTTACTTGTCTGTAATATGTTTTGCTGTTTCCGTGGGAGCCAGTTTCACAAACGTCGGTTAACTGCTAACCAAAGGTTAATTGATTCTCTTCTTAGATAATAATACCTGGTTTCGCCAACGTCGCTTAATCTTAAGCTTAGTTTAATTTGTTCTTTGACTCTTTCCAACTGTTACTTTAGAAAGAGACACACACGAATTAAACTAAGATTGAAATTAGGCGACGTTTGGTGAAACCGGACCTAGTTTTCATCAACGTCGCTTAACAAGCTTAGTTTAATTCGTTCTTTGTCTCTTTTCAACTGTTACTTTAGAAAGAGACACACACGAATTAAACTAAGATTAAAGTTAGGCGACGTTTGGTAAAACTGGGCCTAAAGTCTAAGGCCAGGTTTGGTAAAACTGGGCCTAAAGTCTAAGGCCAGGTTTGGTAAAACTGGACCTAAAGTCTAAGGCCTAATTAAAATTAAAGTTAGGCGACATTTGGTGAAACTGGGCCTTAATAACGAAAACCGGACAATGTTTACCGAATGATCCACCACTGAACATCGACCTCGTCGAGTCGAGACACGGTAGGTTGATTGCGCGCTATCAGCGTCTTCGTGTACTTGTTGCTACTGCGATTGTAGACGATGGGGACAACGTGATCTCCATATCTGGTGTGACGCGTCGTCTGCATAAAATTTTACACGCGACAAATTTGTTGACTCATTAAGTGCCCCGCTCCGGGTGGCTTTCAATGAGCATATTTACTCGATGCTCGCCGATAATAACGCGGTCACTCGCGATCGATAACGGTTGCACACACGCCTGTACCTTACCCGGGGAATTCCTGCCGCTGTGACGAAAATTCGCGCTCAGATAAACAATAGCCTCGACCTAGACTAAAAGTTACACGATAAAACCGCGATTCTGCGGGTTTCGTCATTGCGTCAACTACGAAAGGTAGCTGAAGACACTTGAAAACAGGCCGGGGAAAAAAGATCGGCGTAAACGCACAAATCTTTTCCTTAAACACAAATTCGAAGGAGTAACTTATTGAGAGCCGCGACAGGATGTTAGTGTCTGAATAACTTTATTATAAATTACCCTGGCTGAGGTAATATTTTTCGCAACAAATTTATGATAAAGTTATTCATCCTGTCATACTAACATCCTGTCACGGCTCTTAGTCCTTTATTCCTTCGAATTTGTGTTAATTTATCACACGTCAGCCTTATGAATTTTATTAATTTATAAATTCTTACTTTACATTCGTCCCTTACGTTGCTATATAAAAATTAGTAATTTTATCTAACACAAAATTTCCAAATTTGGGTCAAAATTACCCTTCACTAGACTTCATTATGAAATATTATGCAATTCCAAATTTTGGGATAATATTTCAATATAATTATGTTTATTAACAATAGTAATTCCTAATATGACCATTTTTGAAATTTAATACATACGAGATTTCTTATATGAAAGGATTCAAGGAGAATCCTTCCCCCCCCTTCTATATGTCCTCTTTCTAAACTGGAGATCACGCTGGAGCACAGAGAGGAAGCTAGAGAGAGAGATAAAAGAAAGAGAGAGGAGGAGAAAATCGCTCCGGCCGGCAGCGGTCGTTCGTCGCAAAATGTTGGATTTTTTAAAAGCTTGGAAATCCCGCGTGTAACGTCATCGGCGTGTATATATTCCGCCGCAGATTCGCACGACGCGCATAGCGCACGCACGTGCGGGGCCAATTATGGCGTAAGCGATCGTTCCGGATCGGTTCGCATTCAATTGACCGAGACCGAGACGACGAAATTGCCTGTCCACGAGTGCGCGCGTATACGCTAGATAAGTCGGGGCGCGCTCGTCTAAGCTGACGTTTGAGGATCGATGAGTAAGAAAAGTTACGTTCCCAGTACGGATTCCGCGGCCGAGAGAAATCACTGATTCACTCGGGATAATCGCGCGCTAAAGTCCACTCATTATTTTCCTTGAAAACAAATTGAACGATCAAAATTGAATTGATCGCGAGCGATACGTTCGGGCAAAGTAAGAAGCGGACAATTGGGCGCGATAACGATCTCGGCTGGAATTGGATAAAACTGTTTACGAATAAGTAATGTCGATTACGACGTCACTTGTCGACGGCGACGCGGGCGGCTGCTTCTCACCTGGGTGTCCACCATGGAAATTTCCATGGTTCAATTATTAATTGTTCAATTATCTCCTACGCTGAGAAAAATGCTTCGATTGTATCGACAAGACATGTACGATAGAATGTACTTTGGTTGAACCAAACAGAATTTCTAGTTAGCGCGATTAGGGCTCGATATTGCATAACCAGAAGTTTGCTAGACTTCACTACGCATCTGGCAAATCCTGAAGGAATTCTGATTCGTCCATCTTCTAACAGACGACCGGCTGAACCTGCCAGATTTTTAATTAATGCAGCCAGATTGTTTTCAGTGTAGATTTCTATTATGTTGTCTGGAGGAAACGGAATAATTCCGATCGCAATCCAGTCCGAACGTTTCCGCGATTGGTATTTCCTGATCTGCAGTGTGCTCGGTTGCATATACATTGTCGGCAAATTTTTTTTAAGCGCTTCGAATTACTTATATAATAAAATCGAATGTTTCTAGGCGCAAGGAAGCAGATTGTAGCTCGCGTATTGCTTAAAACTAGGACGCGATTTTGAGGGGACGCGGCCTGTCTATGATGGAACGAAGTACGCCTGACGAACCGGAGCGGAATGCTCTCGCGTGCGCGATGGAATTCGGCGTGGTGCTTGCGTGCGCGCGCTCGTTACATTACGCGGCGCGTCGCGACGCCGCCAGAGACGGAGGAGGGCACGGCCAGATGTATTCGATATTTAAAAATACCTGCGGCACTATTTGCGTGCCGCGCGCTACTCGTGGCCCCCGTCCGGCCCCGCCTCGCCCGAGGCCGAGCACGCTCGGGAAACCCCACAGCGGCGTCGCCGCCAGTGGTTTCCGTCGGACTTTCACCCTTAAAAGATCGATCCTCCGTGCCGGGTCCTAATGACACCGTTGGGACCACGTTGCGTCCCGCGCTCCAGATTTCGAACGCAGCCGCGCGGCGACTCGACAATGTCCTGCCGTTGCGTAATGACAACGCGTACCGTTTAAACATCGTGGATCCAAGCTGAGAACCCCGCGGACACTTGAAACTCTTTCAGTGTCGCCGCGATCGACCGGCGGCGCGAGACGGTACGTGTCCCCGCGCGGCCGCACTCGCGAATATTTGCGGCGCGCTGCCCCTCGATGGGCGTTTATTTCCGTCATTTGGAGGCAAGAACGCGATATCGACGCGACGCGCGTAGTTATGCCACGTCGAATTCCGCCGGTGCGACCGGCATAATGCGGTGCAGTTAATTTTAGCAGTTACTTTGATCGGCGCGAGCCTAGTTTGGACCGCGGGACTCCAGCCAAAGCTCCGACGACAATGATTCACCGCGCGTCTTCCTAGTTCTATCTATATCTCATCGCGAGTCGAGACATGTGACTCGGTCGTATCATTCCGACGTGCGTGCTCGCGTCCCTCCCAGTCCCCGGGGAGCTTGCATCGGGAGAGACGCAATCGCGGAGAAATAAATCTAGATCTGGATTGTCGTACGCCAAGAACTCGGCGATACGAGCTTTCCATTCCGAGACATAAAACATAGGAATAAATAAATGTGGAGTAGCCGAATGTTATCGTGCTCGTCCCTCGAGTTTAGAATTAATTTTCGGCCTGGTATCTTTCATTGAGACTCTCTAGCTTGTAAATTTCAAGAGTACGTTGTCGTTGATTATTTATTGCATGACACGGTTGCTTTTCTTGTTCCAGGCGAAATGTGCTTGCACGTGGCAGCCGCCAGTGGATACGTGGACCTGGTGCGACTCCTACTGCGCTCAGGCGCCGATCTCAAGGCGAAGGAGGGTCTGGCGGGATACACGGCGCTTCATCTCGCGGTGGAACGACAGTATCGGTCGTTGTTTGATTTCCTGGTGCCGGAATGCCAACGCGCGTCGTGTCTGAACGAGCAAACGTACAGCGGGACAACGGCCTATCAGTTGACCCTGAACATCAGGAGCGAGTTCGCTAGGAGGGCACGCAGGGAGCTGAAACGGCGCGGGGCGCATCCAGAGCCGCTGCCCGAACCGGATTCCGAGAGCAGCGAGGACGAGGAGACGACGAGGACGTCGTGGGCGGCGGATTACTTGCCCGCCATCGTCAACACGCAAAGCGCGGTTGGGGTGACTGTCTAAACTAGCCATCGATATCTAATTTATCGATCAATTTGGGCGCTAATAATTTTCGAATGAGAAGATGAAAAGATACTGCGCGTACATACTGCACACACAATGGAGTGCGTAAAACATATCTGAAATCACGTCTGTGATGTCATTTTAGTTTATCAGTCGAATTGATACAATCGTAGAATTGTGTGCAATAAAATTTCCCAGAGGAAATGATCAAAACTGTCTCGTATTTTGTACTCTCTATAAGCTAAATAATGTTTGATAAGCGTATCTCTTGAGTTTTAACACGTTTGCGAAATTATTTCACTTAATGAGACAAATTTAAACGAACAGTTATTACTCGCAACAATTAGGTATATCAAATTAAACAAAGCATTTCGCAGAAATTAATTTGCGGCTAGAATTTTATGGCGCGCTGGACGACGTTGTGTTAATATAGTAAATTTATCGAGACAAATAATTAGAGAGTAAAATTGTTCAAATTTATAAGGAAACTGCGTCTGACGATAACGATACTTGGCTGTAAACATCGCACGAGTAAAAAAGTCAGCGTAGCTTCGAAGCGCCTATGACGTCATCTTAATCTGCTGGGTGGATTAAGATCTATAGTAAAAAAATTAAAGAATTACCAGTTAAGTAGATAAGGAGTAGAATTTCTCGAGATTAGCTTCAATGTGTATTAAATGTAATGCGCGATCATAGAGATATGTCTCTTGAGAGCCGCCGAGTATTACTATCGTAATACAATTATAGACTGTATACGCTTTTCGAGTCGAATTCTTACCGGCAGCAATGTGAGGGACGAACGACGAACGAGTAAACGGGGACGCGTGGAGAATCGAAGATCTCAGAAACGAACTTATACGCGATTAACGAAACATTCAACTACGAACGAAGCGACGACACGTAGACGCGGCTTGTCTTAGCGGGTCGTTCGTCTTTCCCCTAGCAATCTATCGCAGCGGACAGACATGCAGCATCCCGAGACGTGAAGAGTGTTCCAAAAAAAGGCTGTACAAATAATACAAATGTATATTTTAACGTGAGTGTTCTTACGATGTTCGCCGGAGGAGAGTCTGTGAGTGTGTGAGAGAAGGTGCGACCGCGCGCCGGAGCGCATGTTGACGCTGAAAGTGGAATACTTGCGCTTATCTAACGCGATATTTCGTGGTGTAAATGGAAGATTAGGCCAGCGTCCGCGTCCAATGACAACAATACGAACAATACTCGTGAGAAAGGGTCTTGTTATAGATCGTAAGTCATAGGGTAAAGACGAAGTCAGTCCGTGGAGCGGAATATCTGTTAGAACGAAGATAAATAATCGAATTCACATTCTTACATGCGACTCGCGCAGTCGCGCGCAATGTATATGTATTTATATATCATTTATATATCGGAAAGGAGGATCCAGGACGATGCGATGTTTGTCAACGATGAGCATTAATCGGGTGGAATGTTCACTGTAATAGCACATAATTGCTTCCATCGATATACAACTTCATCTCTTTGTGTATATAGACATTTTCCGTTAGAATTATAAGTATAGTACATCATTCTGCCGCGGTAATATTAATAGTAACAACGACGAGATGACGATATCATTATTGTTATATTCGTATAATTACAAACTATAATTATTTTTAATAAAAAAACATTACAATGAATCTAGTGTTTATCATTTTCCCTTCGCTTTGTTCTATAATAGATATTAGTCCCTCTGGAGAGACAGAGGTTTTGCTCTCCACCTTACTGTTCTCTTTCCTTTGGAAGAAATTTAAAGTCAGATAATTCAACAACTGAATCATTGCCCGATGAGCAAAGAGTCTGGGTTTAATTCTCGATCTTTGCCACCTCGCTAAGTTGAAAGAACACTTTAATTTTCATTCTACAGATATCTTAATTGACATTTAAAAAATAGAATAGCTAGATAATAGTGACGTAAAAGTGTTCTGCTGTACGAAATAAATTCAACAGCGTATACCAGTTTTAAATAAAGAATAATTCAATGAAGCGATAGGCTTTGATTAATGAGAACAAAATAAAAAGATGATGTGAGAAACTTAACACTGCTGATCTTAACGTAATAAAAACAATTTTTCATTTAGTCTAACACAAAGTATTAATTTGCTACGAAAATAAAATTAAGTTAAACGTGGTGGCAAAGACCTGTAAAGTCGGGAAGAGATTTTATCTTGTTGGTTATTACTTAAAAATCGGATTTCTCATAGGAGGAAGTCGCTCCTCCTATTAATTGATCTTTGTCACGTAATCATGTACGTGTAGAATGAAAATGTCATCGTGCCGATTAAAAATGCGGAAGCTTCTCGAGCGGGTGACCTTAGAGAACAGACAGAGGTGTTTCTCCTCCTTCATTTATTAAAAAGATGTCCTCCCCCCCCTCCCAACGGTCGCAAGCATAACGGGATTATTGGAGGCGACGCGGTTAAACCCGACGTAAAAATCTGGAGCAAGGACCGAGCGATGAGTGTTATTTCGAGTTTTCCCGCAAGTTTGTAACGGTCTAAGCATTTCAAGGCGCTCGCAGACTTATCTCTCTTTCAGAGAATCCGAGCCGCGGAGAAAGAGGGAAAGTACGCGCGCGGTTTCCTAGTACTTAGGCACTGGCGAACCCCGAGTTATCTCCGACAATGCAAACGTAATAATGTGCGAGATGTCGCACTTTTTACGAGGCGTCCCGGGTGGCACACGGGAAAACCAAGAGATTCTTTTTGAATTCCCGAATTACGAAATGAATTCTCTCTCCGTCTCATTTCCATCTTAAAAACATTGCTAAGAGATCAAAGGGATTTCGCTTCTATACAATCAATTTTCCTTCGGATAGGAAATCTTTGTATTCAGAATAATTTTCATGCACTTTCAGAAGTCAACAGGCTACAACTTCTATGGAATACCGCTTGGACTAGCGGAAATTCTCTTTAGTTTATTTCCGACAGATTACGGCGATTTATACGGGATTTAAAAGAGCGAATCTTTTTTAAATTCATATGACGATCGTATGCATGCGCTATTTGGGGCGCTGCCACCGGCAGGAAATCCCACGTCCACATTCTACTTTCCATGCAACATTTTCGTAGGAGATTAATGGAACGGACTGAATGTCGAGGTACCAAAACGTATCCCGATTCTCCGAGGCGAGCGCGATGTATTTTGATATTCAAAAGTACGGAAGTGGTAGGCATCGACGATGCCTTTGGCCCTGCCTGAGGTCGATGGGTTTTCCCCATCCCTACTTCGCGCTTTCGTATTTGTAGTACCGCTAAAGGCATCGTCGTGCACCGTCCGCTGGAGGGGACAAGCGCGCAGGCGCCGCGCTGTCAGATCTCAGTAGCGTATATATTTCATTATTGCAACAAGCGGTGCCCAGTGAGAAGTAATGTCGAATCGACGTCAATTGGACGGCGTCGATGTCGATCCCTAAAGCCCGTATCAGACTCCCGACTCTGAGGCTGGCATTAC